TTGGCTATTCGTTTATCTTCCTTACAGAGCTGTTTTTCAGCTCATTCTCCCACCTTTTAATTGGATTGAGCATCTTTTTTTGGGGGGGTGTGGAGGGTGGTAAGTTTCTTGAGTTCCCTGTGTATTCTGGTTATCTGAAGTATAGTTTACAAAAATATTTTTCCATTCTGAGGATTGTCAATTCACACTAATTACTGTATCTTTTGCCATGCAGAAAGTTCTTATTCTGATGTAATCTTACTTGTCTACATACATTCTACACATTCACCCACCCTCTTTCCCACACTGTTATCTGGTATTCATGACCATTTACTTATTTTCTATAATCCTTAGACATTCAGTTTTGGCAATAGAGTGCAGACACTTGGTATATACTAAGTGAAGACATACAATATCTCTCTTTATCGCATGACTTCCTTCACTCAGCAGTAAATCTTCCATATTCATCCACTTTCTGTCAAAAGCCAGGGTCTTGTTGTTTTTTTTTTATGGCTGAGTATTATTCCATAGAGTATTTGTGAAACAAGTTTTTCAATCCATTCATCTGTTAGTGGGCATTTGGGTTGGTTCCCTGTCATAGCAATTATGAATAATGCAGTAATAAACATGGATATGCAATCATTTTTTGAATTAAGAATTCTCTGTCCTTTGGGTAGATACCAAAAAGTGGGATAGCTGGATCATATGCTAGTTCTATTTGTAGATTTATGAGTAATCTCCCAATTATTCTCCAGAGTGGCTGGACCAATTTACATTCCCACCAGCAGTGTAGGAGTGTTACCCTTTCACCACACTCCTGCCAGCACTTATCATTTTTTGATTTTTTTTTAATCTTAGTCATTCTGACTGGGATTAGGTAATATTTCATTGTAGTTTTTATCTGCATCTCTCTTATTATGAATGATTATGAGCATTTTTTTATATACCTTTTGGCTATTCATAGGTTATTCTTAGAGAGAGGTTTTTTTCAACTCATTCTTCCATCTTCTAATAGGGTTGGTCATGTTTTGGGGGGACAGCTGTTTGAGTGTCTTGTGTATTCTGGTTATCTGATGCATAGTTTACAATGTGAGGGCTGTTGATTCGCACTAATTACTGTGTCTTTCCCCATGCAGAAACTTCTTAGTCTGATGTAATTCCACTTGTTTATTTTTGAGATTATTGACTGTGATTTGGGAGTCTTATTTAAGAAGTCTTTGCCTACCCAAAGTATCTGAGAGTTACTCCAGTGTTTTCCAGCAGCAGTTTTATACGTTGAGGTCTTAGGTTTAGGTCTCTGATCAACTTTGAGTTGATTATTGTCAAAGGTAAGAGATACGGGTTCAAATTCACCTTTCTGCAGGTGGAGATCCAGTTTTTCCATCACCATTTGCTAAGGAGATTTTCCTTTCCCTCTGGATTGACTGATGTCCTTTGTCAAAAAACAGTTGGGTATCTGAGAGTTACTCCAGTGTTTTCCAGCAGCAGTTTTATACGTTGAGGTCTTAGGTTTAGGTCTCTGATCAACTTTGAGTTGATTATTGTCAAAGGTAAGAGATACGGGTTCAAATTCACCTTTCTGCAGGTGGAGATCCAGTTTTTCCATCACCATTTGCTAAGGAGATTTTCCTTTCCCTCTGGATTGACTGATGTCCTTTGTCAAAAAACAGTTGGCTGTATGACTGTCAGTTTATTTCTGGAAACTCTATTTCAATCCATTGGACTACCTGTCTACTTCTGTGCCAATACCATGCTGTTTTGATTACCACAGCTTTGTAGTATATTTTGGGGACAGAGAGTGAGATGCCACCCACTCCACTCTTCTTGTGCAGGATTGTTTTGGCAATATGAGGTCTTTTCTGATTCCAAACAGATTGTATGATTTTCTTTTCTACATCTGTGAAGAATGTTTCTGTTACTTTGATTGAGATTGCATTAAATATGTAGATTAATTTGGGTAGAATTGCCATTTTGATTATATTAATTCTTCTGATCCAGGAACATAGGACGACCTTCCATTTTTTTGTGTGTCATTTTCAATTTCTTTTTTTAGCTTTTCATAATGTTCCTTGTGGAGGTCTTTAGCTTCTTTGGTTAGATTTATTTCTATGTATCTTATACTTTTTGTGACTATAGTAAATGGAATAACTTTTTTCAGTTCTATCTCTGTCTGCCTGCTGTTCCTATATAGATATGCTATAGATTTCCGTATGTTGATTTTTTTATCCTGCAACTTTACTGTAGTCATGTATTACCTCCAGAAATTTTTTTATGGAGACCATAGGGTCTTCTATGTATACAATCATGTCATCTGCAAAAAGAGAGAGTTTTGCTTCTTCTTTTCCCATTTCAATATCTTTTATTTTATTCTCATTTCTGATTGCATTGGCGAGCATGTCCAGTACTATTTTGAAAAGGAGTGGAGAAAGTGGGAATCCTTATCTTGTAACCGTTTTTAGTGGAAAAGCTTTCAGTTTTTCTCCATTCAGGATCATGTTAGCTATGGGTTTTCCATAGATAGCTTTTACTGTGATGAGAAATTACCCTTCTATGCCTATTGTGCTGAGAGTCTTGATCATGAAGGGATGTTGTATCTTATCAAATGATTTTTCTGCATCAATCGATATAACCATTTGTTTTTTTTATCTTTCTTCCTGTTAATGTGGTGTATTACATTTATGGTTTTGCGTATGTTGAACCAACCTTGCATTCCTTGAATAAAGCCTACCTGATCAGGATGTATAACCTTTTCTATAAGTTGTTGGATACAATTTGCTAGTATCTTGTTGAGAATCTTTGTGTATGAGAAATTACCCTTCTATGCCTATTGTGCTGAGAGTCTTGATCATGAAGGGATGTTGTATCTTATCAAATGATTTTTCTGCATCAATCGATATAACCATTTGTTTTTTTTATCTTTCTTCCTGTTAATGTGGTGTATTACATTTATGGTTTTGCGTATGTTGAACCAACCTTGCATTCCTTGAATAAAGCCTACCTGATCAGGATGTATAACCTTTTCTTAACTGCTGGTTCCCGAATTTGCTAGTATCTTGTTGAGAATCTTTGTGTCTATATTCATTGGAGATATTGGGCTATGTTTTTATTTTTCCTTGTCCTGTCCTATCTGTTTTGTGGATAAGGGTGATGGAATCTTCATAGAATGAATTCCAGAGAGTTTCAGCCTTTTGGATCTTTAGAAATAACTTATACAGAATGGGGTTAACTCTTCTTTAAAAGTTTTGTAGTATTCAGAGGTAAAGCCATCAGAACCAGGACTTTTCTTTGTTTGGAAGTTATTTTTTGCTTATTCAACCTCCTGGTTTTTCATGAGCCTATTCAGACTTTCTACATCCTCCTGACTCAATCTTGGTAGATTATATGTGTCCAGGAATTTGTCTATCTCATCCAGATTGTTTTGTTTGTTAGCATAGTATCCTCTAATGATGTTTTGTATTTCTGTTATGTCTGTTGTTATATTGCTTGCTTCATTGCAAATTTTATTTACCAGGTTCCTTTCTCTCTTCTTCCTAATAAGTCTCACTAGTGGTGTATCAATTTTGTTTATCTTTTCAAAGAACCAGCTTTTATTTTCATTAATTTTCTGCATACTTTATTTTCTATTTCATTTATTTCTATTTGGATCTTTATTATTTCTTTTATCCTGGAATTTTTAGACTTTTTTGCTGTTGCTTTTCCAATTCTCTGAGGCATGATGTTAAGTGATCCATTTACCTTCTTTTCATCTTCTTATTATATGCTACTAATTGCTACAAACTTCCCTCTTATGACTGCTTTGCAGTGTCTCAAAGATTATGGATCATTGTCATTGGCCTCCATGAATCTTTTACTTTAAGTCTTAGTTTCTTCAGTAGTTTAAAGTCATTCAGGAATAGGCTATTTAGTTTCCATGTATTTTTTCCATGTATTTTTGAGGATTTCTCTTCAAAATAACATTGTTTGATTTCTACATGGTCGGAGAAGATGTTGGATATAGTTTCTATGCCTTTGAATCTGCAGAGGCTTGCTTTGTGCTTTATCATTTGATCAATCTTCGAAAAGGTTCTATGTCAGGGTGAGAAAATTGTGTATGTCATGGCTTTCAGGTTGAAAGTTCTATAGATGTCTGTTAAGTCCATTTGATTTATCATATAATTTAGGTCCTTTATTTACCTATGTTTTTGTCTAGATGATCTGTTCAGAGGGGATAGTGGGATGCTGAGGTCTCCGACAATTAGTGTGTTACAGTCTGTCTCCCCTTTTAGACCTAACAGTCTTTCCTTCACATAATAAAGTGCTCCTGTGTTAGTGCATAGATACTTATAAGCATTATATCTTCTTGATGTATTAACACTTTTACTACAATATATTGCCCTTCTTTGTTTCTTTAAACAGTTTTTGTTTTAAAGCCTATCTTGTCAGAAATTAGTATGGCTACTCCAGTTTCTTTTTGGTTCCCATTTGTATGAAATATATTTTTCCAGCCCTTTACTTTTAGTCTATGTGTGTCTTTATTCATGAGATGCATTTCTTGTAGGCAACAGATAGAAGATTTCTATTTTTTACCAGTTCAACCAGTCTGTTTCTCTTGAGTGGAGAATTTAATCCATTAACATTCAATGATATTATCAAAAGTTTCAGACTTGTCCCAACATTTAAAATAACCACTGTCTTGGTTGCCTTTTTCCCCTTTATTTCTGGCTGTTTATTCTTTAGTTTTCCAGGCACAGTACTGTCTTCAGGGTTTCTTGAAAAGCTGGTCTGGTGTTGGCAAACTCTTTCAGGTTTTGCTTGTCTGAGAAGATTTTAATCTTTTTTTTTTTCTCATATGAAGGATAATCTTGCAAAATATAATAATCTTGGTTGAAATTGATTCTCTCTTAACGCTTTCAATACATCTTCCCATTCTTTCCTTGCTTGTATTGTTTCCATTGAGAGGTCTGAAGTTATCCTGATGGGATGACCTTTGTAAATCACTTGTCGTTTCTCTGTTGTCAGTTTTAGTATCTTATCTTTATCTGTGGTCTTTTCCAATTGGCTAAAATTCACCTTAGGGAAGATCTTCTTGGGTTGATTCTATTTGGGGTCTTTTGTATTTCTTTCAATTAGCAATAATCGTGCCTCGGATAAACCTCATTGGCTATGATACTGCCACTGTGCAAAGCTTTATTTCTTGAATCTGGATGTTTGAGTGCCTCTCTAGACTTGGGAGATTCTTTTCCCAGGATTTCATGGAACAGATTTTCCATGCCCTTATCAGTTTCTTCACCTTCTGGGTTAACAATTATTCAGCTGTTTGGACGTTTAATGGAGTCTAATATTTCTTGTATATTATCCTCATTTTTTTGGTTATTTTCTCTTTTTGGTCGTATTTTTCTAGGTCAGAAGTTTTATCTTCTATCTCAGAGATTTGATCTTCAGCATGGTCTAATGGACTTTTAATGCTTTTGAGAGTTTTTGATTTCCTATATTATAGACTCCATCTCTAATAGTTCCATCTGATTCTTTCTTAGTGTCCATTTTTTCTTTCATATCATGGAAGGACATTATAATCTCCTGTAGCTCATCTCTTTTCTGTTCCAACTCATAGAATTTTTTCACCATGAGTGTTCTAAATGCTTTCTCTGACATTTATGTAACATCTTCTGTTCTTTCAAGAGATAGAGGGGAGTTACTGTTTTCTTTTGATTGAGACATTGTTCCTGGTTTATTTACACCTGAAGCTCTTCTATTTCTAGCCATTGGGAGATATATTCACTTTTGGAAATCTTTTTGGAGTTTTTTTTTTTTGAAAAAATGTGCTTCTGTATTGCAGTGGACTGTTGTGTGCTGAAGTCTCTTTTCTGCTGTGTTTTGCAATGTGGTCTGCACAGGAAGATTCTTCCATTCAGGAGTCTGGAGAGAAGTCTCTCCTTTTTCGCAGGTGGTTAAGTAAAAGGGAGGATCCCAGGGAACCTCTCAATAGCAGAGTATTTTCAAACTATGATTCTGGACCTGTCTGGATTTTCTTGGTGCATGGATGATAAGCAGGAGATGACAATATATAACAGAAGAGAAAAAAGTATGAAAGAGAATAAAGAAAACATCGCCTGTGTAGCACAATTTCACCAGGATCCGAGAGATGGAAGTGGACTCTGCTGGAGAACTGGGGGCAGTCCTGTAGAGTAAGAAGAAGTGGGTAATTAACAAAAGAAAGAAGAATAGGAGAAAAAAAAAAACCTTTCTTGCTAACAGAGAAAAGGTCACTATTGGAGGTGGGGCTGAGGTGCCCTGCCTCAGTGTCCCCTAGGCCAGGGGGCTGGAGATATAAGTCGGCTCTGCTGGAGATCTAGAGGCAGTTCTTGCTAACAGAGAAATGGTCTCTGTAGTTGGGGAAGCTGGAGCTGGGGCTGGTGTGCCCTGCCTCAGTGTCCCATTTATTTTCTTTATAAGTCATTCATTTTCTATTTCATTTAACTATGCTTGAATGGGTTATTATTTCTTTCTTTTTTGGATTCTTATTGTTGTTGCCCTTCCAATTCTCTGAGGCATAATGTTAGGTTGTCCATTTGCCTTCTTTACATCTTCTTATGTGTTTTAATTGCTATGAACTTCTCTCTTATGACAGCTTTTGCAGTGTCCAAAAGATTATGGAAACTCGTATACTTTTTATCACTGGCTTTCATTAATCTTTTGATTCAGTCTTTATTTCTTCAGTAGTTCAGAAGTCATTCAAGAATAGGCTATTTAGTTTCCATGTATTTGTGTATTTTTGAGGATTTTTCCTGAAATTCCTCTCAAGTTTAATTCAATCATAGTCAGAGAAGATGCTGGCCATAGTTTGTATGCTTTTTAATATGTAAAGGCTTGCTTTGTGCCCTATCATGTGGTCAATCTTTAAAAAGATTTCTCATAGTTTTCCTTGTAGGAGTCTTTAACTTCTTTGGTTAGATTTATTCCTAGGTATCTTATACTTTTTGTGGCTATGATAAATGGGTTTACTTTTTTCAGTTCTATCTCAATCTGCTTGCTGTTCATATAGAAATCCTATAGATTTCTGTATGTTGATTTTGTATTCTGCAACTTTACTGTATTCATTTATTACTTTCAGGAATTTTTTCATGGATTCCATTGTTTTTTCTTTGTATACAATCTGCAAATAGAGAGAGTTTCACCTCTTCTTTTCCTACTTAAATAGCTTTTATTTTCTTCTCTTTTCTGATTGAGTTTGTGAGGACTACCATTATATTGAAAAGGAGTAGAGAAAGTGGGTATCCTTGTCTTGTACTAGCACTCTATAGCTGAAACATAATGACTAGAGGATATAGAAACATAGAAAATGATTATAAATACTAGATACAGTGTGGTAAGAGGGTGGATAAAGGAGAAGAGTCTGAGAAAGGATATTAAGGAGAAAAATAGAGAGGCAAGGCATTTATGGAACAAAGAAATGGGTTATTATCTGTTGGTGATAATGTCTATAGTGTTCTCAGCTGGATTGATGAGAATAGTATACATTTTTAAATATTCACTTTGCAAGCTGAGTGACATATGTGATTGAAAGTATAAAAGAAATTAAAATAAAAGAAAACATTTTTAAAAACTTTGAAAAGGTTCCATGTGGATGTGAGAAAAAAAGTATATCTCATGGGGTTATTTTTTTGTTTTTGTTTTTGTTTTTAAATATGTTTTTCGCTATAGGGAAACAGAGAGATAGAAAGTGAGAAATCACCCCCCAGGGTGGATGGCCATGCCTCAATCCCTTCTCCTTCATTCTCCTCTCGGGATCTTGGGCACGCACACGCGTGCCCAGCATGAGTTTAAGTCGCCGGGTCCGGGACTCGAACCACAGTCGACTACATGGGAGTCCAGTGACATAGCCATTATGCTAACTGCTGTTCTCTGTCTCGTGTCTTTTTGATGGAAGGTTCTATAGATGTCTGTTAAGTCCATTCAATCTATGGTATCATTTAAATCCTTTATCTCTTTGCTTATTTTTGTCTAGATTATCTGTTCATAGTAGGGTGTTGGTGTCCCCAACAATTAGTGTCTTGCAGTCTATCCCTCCTTTTAGATCTAACATCTTTTCTTCAAGTTTTTGGGTGCTCCTGAGTTAGGTGCATAGATATTCATAAGTGTTTATATCTTCTTGATGGATTACCCCTTTCAATACTATATAATGCCCTTTTTTATCTCTTCATACAGCTTTCGTCTTAAAGCCTATTTTGCTGGAAATCAATATCACAATTCCTGCTCTTTTTTGGTTCCCATTTGCATAGAATACCTTTTCCAGCCCTTCACTTTTAGTCTATGTATGTTTTTATCCATGAGATGTGTTTCTTGTAGGCAACAGATAGAGGGTTTCTGTTTTTCTTTTTTTAATCTATTCAGCCAGTCTGTATCTTTTGACTAGATAATTTAACTTCTTGTATATTATCCTCTCTTTTTTATGTTATTTTCTCTATCTTTTTGGTGGCTTTTTCTAAGTCAGAGGTTTTGTCTTCTACACCGAAGATTTGATCTTCAGCATGGTCTAATCAGTTTTTAACACTTTTGAGAAAGTTTTTGATTTTCTGTATTATAGACTTCATCTCTAATAGTTTCATCTGATTCTTTCTTATGGTGTCCATTTTTTTCTTTCAAATTGTGGAAGGGCTTCCTTCTTCTCTTGGAGTTTGTTGTCTCTATTCTGTCCCAACTCATAGAGTTTTGTTACTATGAATGTTCTGAATTCTTTCTCTGACATTTCAGTAACCTCTTTTTTTTTCAAGGGATGGGAGAGAGCTATTGTGTTCTTTTGCTGGAGACATATATTCTGTTTTTTTCAAACCTGAGGTTCTTCAACTTCTAGCCATTTGGTGATGTATTCATTTTTGGATACCTTTTTGGTGGGTGTTTCTGCCACTGGAAACTAGTTTACTTCCCTTTTGCTGTGAATTGCTTCTGTGCTGAAGTCTCTCCTCTGCTGTGTTTAGCAATGTGGTTCCCATAAGAGGACTTTTCTATTCAGGTTTCTAAAGAGCAGTTTCTCCTTTTCTGCAGGTGGTTCAGTATAGAGCAAGGAACCCTGGGAGTCTCACAATGCTAGGATGTTTGAAAATTGTGATTCTAGACCTGTCTAGTCTCTCTTTCTTGTGGGGAGGAGGGTTCTATGGTTGGGGGCTCGGGATGAAGCTGGAGCTGGGACCAATGGACAGTTCCCCTGACTAAGCAGGGGGCTGCAGATGAAAGTGGGCTTTCTATTGATAATTTTTTTTTGAGAGATTTTCACTGTAGGGCGCGTGCGCTCGCCAGACAGACAGAGAGAGACATAGAGACAGAAAGTGAGAAATCACCCCCCGAGGGGATGGTCACGTCGCAATCCCTTCTCCTCCATTCTCCTCTCGGGATCTTGGGCACGCACGCACATGCGCCCGGCGTGAGTTTTAAGCCACCGGGTCCGGGACACAAACCGCGGTCGACTACGTGGGAGTCCAGCAACATAGCCATTACGCTAACTGCTGGTTCCCTTGATAATTGTTTTTGTATTTAACCTACTTTTTGTTTGGAGAGCTTATTGAATTTGTGGATCGATGTCTTTCATTGCTTTGAGAAAAAATTTGACCAGTATGTCTTTACATATTGCTTCTCCTTTATTCCTACTCTCTTCCCCTTCCAGTAGTCGAGTTGCATTCATGTTAGGCTTTTCTACCATGTCAGAGTATCATGTCCCATATGTCCACTAATTATGTATTTTCCATTCTTGTTGTTTTCCATGGTTTAGCACCTATATTTTCTACCATTTTTTCCATTTTGTTAATTTGATCTTCTCCTGAGTCTAACTTACTATAAACCCTCTACTTCTTCATTCAGTTACTTAATTTTCAGCTCTAAAATTGCTACTGCATTTCTTTTTTTCACATTATTTATTATTTTTTTGTATATAGTTTCAATCATATCGTTTGGCTTACAATGAGACCATTTCGATATGCACATTTCTCTCCAGACCCGTTGATCAAAATATCTTCAACAGATAACACCACACCTCCCCATCCCATCAGTGCTCTACCTCTGTATCTCTTCTCCAAATTGCTACTGCATTTCTTGTATAAATTTAAGTTCTTAGATTAAATTCTCTATCTTGTCACCTATTTTCTTGAACACATCAGTTATAGGTACAGAGTTTGTGTCTGATAATTCCAGTAAGT